AAGTAGATAACCAACTTTCCCAGAAAGTAGAAATATTTCCCATTTTCTCTGATACAAATTTCCCGTTTTCTATGATAATCTACTTTGGAAAATATGTTAATATTTCCCAAAAAGTCGATAATCTACTCCTACAAAAAGTGGATACTCTACTTTACCGAAAAGTAGATAATCTACTTTTCAGGAAAGTAGATAACCAACTTTCCCGGAAAGTAGATATTTCCCATTCTCTATGATACAAATTTCCCGTTTTCTATGATAATCTACTTTGGAAAATATGTTAATATTTCCCAAAAAGTCGATAATCTACTCCTACAAGAAGTCGATAATCTACTTTACCGAAAAGTAGATAATCTACTTTTCAGGAAAGTAGATGACCAACTTTCCCGGAAAGTAGATATTTCCCATTCTCTATGATACAAATTTCCCGTTTTCTATGATAATCTACTTTGGAAAATATGTTAATATTTCCCAAAAAGTCCATAATCTACTCCCACAAAAAGTCGATAATCTACTTTACCGAAAAGTAGATAATCTACTTTTCAGGAAAGTAGATAACCAACTTTCCCGGAAAGTAGATATTTCCCATTCTCTATGATACAAATTTCCCGTTTTCTATGATAATCTACTTTGGAAAATGTTAATATTTCCCAAAAAGTCGATAATCTACTTCCACAAAAAGTCGATAATCTACTTTACCGAAAAGTAGATAATCTACTTTTCAGGAAAGTAGATAACCAACTTTCCCGGAAAGTAGATATTTCCCATTCTCTATGATACAAATTTCCCGTTTTCTATGATAATCTACTTTGGAAAATATGTTAATATTTCCCAAAAAGTCGATAATCTACTCCCACAAAAGTCGATAATCTACTTTACCGAAAAGTAGATAATCTACTTTTCAGGAAAGTAGATAACCAACTTTCCCGGAAAGTAGATATTTCCCATTCTCTATGATACAAATTTCCCGTTTTCTATGATAATCTACTTTGGAAAATATGTTAATATTTCCCAAAAAGTCGATAATCTACTCCCATAAAAAGTCGATAATCTACTTTACCGAAAAGTAGATAATCTACTTTTCAGGAAAGTAGATAACCAACTTTCCCGGAAAGTAGATATTTCCCATTCTCTATGATACAAATTTCCCGTTTTCTATGATAATCTACTTTGGAAAATATGTTAATATTTCCCAAAAAGTCGATAATCTACTCCCACAAAAAGTCGATAATCTACTTTACCGAAAAGTAGATAATCTACTTTTCAGGAAAGTAGATAACCAACTTTCCCGGAAAGTAGATATTTCCCATTCTCTATGATACAAATTTCCCGTTTTCTATGATAATCTACTTCGGACCTATTTGGCCTAAACCGGACATGTTGACATACTGTACTTGAATTCGTTTTTGTGCGAATTTGGGATTCTCTGTAAAATTTGTACCACTCAGTAGCAATAGCTGCATCATTATAAAAAGCAAAATATATCAGAAATCGTAAAATTCTCAAGGCTATATGAAATAAAACAATGTATGAATGTATGATTTTATTGCTGTTGATTTTTTTAATGTTTTCATACAAAAATATACGACATTATGTACACTGTCTACACAACACCCACAGTCAACAGAGAGCCTTTGGTGTTTGTGTTATAACTGTGTTTGTTATATACCTGTGAGTTTGTTACCCTGTCATGTCACCTTGGTTGTCAAATATTTTTGTGGGTAGGAAAGTAAGAAGAGGTAAGAATAAGAACAGGTGAGAGTAAGAACAGGTAAAAGTAAGATCAAATAGAATAGAGGAAGTGGAGTGTTTTAACCAAGAATTAATATATAGGTAAATAACATGGTGACATGAATAACGTGTTTGTGTACTGTATGTGGGAGTGGATAAGGTATAGACTATAGTGAATCAGTCAGTCATGGTGCTGTCTTCATGTCTGAGGGTCGGTAACCATAGCCCTCTGTTACCAACCTTTTTGACCTGTTTTAATTGCATGTTACCCTCACAGCCTTGCCCTGACCCTCCTACCCACCAATATCTCTGCCATAACATCTTTCTCTTTAATTCTATGTTCAATGTTTTTCATTTTTCTTTTAAGTTTTCATTATTTCTCTCACTAAAACATCTTTTTTTTTGTTTACTTAAACTTTATGTTCCAGGTTAAAGGATCTCTGAGATCATCAAGTGCTGTTCTCTGATCTATTCTTGTTGTAATTATTCCTGCACATCTGTCATCATAACTTATGTTACTTACCAAAATTTAAGAATTTTTAACCTGTCAAAGTTTGCTGTTAAATATACTGTACTGTACTGTACCACAATTTTATTTTGGGGGGATTTTGCTATATACCAGCATTTCTTAACCTTTCCCGACCTCAGCACCCCCTGTGGTCAGATCTAGGGAGTCCAGCACCCCCTTCATCTGGTTGTAGAGACTACAGTTGCTACAGGGCTATAACAAGTAATTACAGTACAATACTGCTTTATAATTTACTTTGATCATTCTTAAAAAAATATGGCCTTTCCCAGCACCACCCAAAATCGATTTCAGCACTCCCTGGGGGTGCTAGGACCCCAGGTTAAGAAACGCAGCTCTATACAGTATTGGACACAACCATTAATTCCATCTCCACAGCCTTAAGTCTAACTCCATGTTCTGTTCTGTCTTTTGTTCACTAATCTGTGCATCAGCCTTTGTGTGTTCCCCACTGTCTGTAATGAGAGCGGCAGCCTCTGTATACTGAATATTTTATATTGCTTTATAATTAATTAATATATATATTATATATATATATATATATATATATATATATATATATATATATATATATATATATATATATATATATATATATATACAATAAATACATACATAAAAGTAAACACTTTATGACTATACTTCAACAAGGTGTACAGCTTACATCTCTCACTCTCTAAAGTGGAAGCTTCAGCAGCCAATCACCTGCCAGAACCTTCAGGCAGGTAAACCATACACAGACTGGAAGAAATAAATCATTTGAGTTAGTAAACAAACTATTGTTGGGTATGATAACATAGCTGGAACTCGTGGAGGAATTACTGCAGTCATCATCATCCAACTGTGACACCAGAGTTAAGATGTGTCCACTGGTGGACCTAACACCTGTACGATATTTAATCAAGTTAGGGCACATCATCTAGTACACCTGTTAATTAATTACTCAGCATGTCATCACCTGTCATAAGTGTCCTGACTCACCTATCATCTGGCGGGCAGTTGGTGTGAGCAAATGGCGTTGGCGAGGATGTTGGTGTAGACGGCGTTAATTTCTCCTTCAACCCGGTACTGTGTCTCTCCTCCTGCCCCCCGCCGTGCCACTACCTGTAACAGAGCCCCTTCTGTCTATACATTGATTGCTACTAACAGAACATTACTGTCTTTACCCAAGAAACTAGTCTCTAAATTATTTACTACATTCTTTAAACTCTTTACTAGCCCTAGGACCACCTGCTACTGTCCTAGACTATCTACTACTGCCCTACAACCCCCTACAACTGCCTGGGCCTCTTTCTCACTCTAGGCCCACCTCTTACCTTCCTTCTACTGCCCTACAACCCCACCGACTGCCTGGATGCTCACTGCCTGGGCCCACTACTGCTGCCTGGACCACTCTGCTACTGCTGCAACCCCCTGCTGCCATAGACCTCACTACTGCCTGAACCCTGCTACAGCAGCCCCCTACTGCCCTTCCTGCCTTCTACTGCCCTACAACCCCCTACTGCACCCTGGGCCCTCTGCTGCTGCCCTGAGCCCACCCCCCTGCCCACCTGACCCCTATGCCTAAACACTCTGCCACCCTAAACCCTCCCACTACCTGAGCCACTCTACTGCTGCCTAGACCCTGCTGCCTGGCACCTGCTACTGCCTGGGCACACTACTGCTGCCCCAGCCACAGGCCCTGCTACTGCCCTGAGCCCCACACTGCACCTGAGCCCTGCTGAACCCTCTACTACTGCCCTTGACCCTCTACTACTGTCCTTAGACCCCACTACTACCCCTGAACCCCGTACTACTACCTGGGCCTACAGCACCTGGGCCCCTACTACTTGAGACCCCTACTACTACCCTAGACCCCCTACTACTACCCTAGACCCCCTACTACTACCCTGGACCCACTACTAGTGCTCTAGGAGCCACTACTACTGCCCTAGACCCCCTACTACTGCTCTAGGACCAACTGTTACTCACCTGGTGGAAATGACAGGCGCACTTTCCTTGGAGAAAATGACGGTAGCGGGCGGCAGTCATGTTGAAAGTGTCGACGACCTGATAGCCGCGGTGGTGGGCAAACGATGCCAGGTACTTGGAGTGGTCCAGCAGCCGTGAGTGGTCCCTCTGTAGGGGAGAGGGCGAGATGTCACACTGTGTGGGGGAGAGGTCGAGAGGTTACACTGTGTGGAGGTGAGGTCGAGAGGTCACACTGTGTGGGGGAGGGATCATGTGGGTGCCTTTACTCACCATGGACACCGTGTGGACGCCTGGGGCCGCCACGTGGAAGCCAGCTCCCAGTGTTTTAAGAATGACCTGAGCTCCTTGAAGACCCTTCCTGTAGACAACACCAAGGCGCTTGTTAGTGACTCACCGCTACAGTGACTCAATAACTTACTGCTACCGCGACTTAGTGATTCAATATGCGAGTGTTTTTTAATTAAAGTATTTCACGAAACAATATTGAGAGAGAGACAGACAGACAGAGAGACATACCTGTGTAAGGCGGAGGAGACCATATGCAGGTGTTGGGCCGCCACCCAGTGTACACCGCCCACCACCACCACCGTGTTGGAACTGTTCCTCAAAGGTCCTGCCCTGGAGAGTCACCATATTAAGTGTTAAGAAGTCAAATGTGTCAGCTTGGTTGAGGTGAAATTTAATTCCCCTGATCCTACTGTTTTTGAGCCTACCTAAACCTTCTTGAGCCTAACCGAACCATTTTGAGCCTATCTTAATCTTTTTGAGCCTACCTAAACCTTCTTGAACCCATCTGAAGTCACCTTTACCTAACAGAACCCACCCACAGCTTCCTAAACCTATTAGAATCTCCCACTTGAACCCCAATGAACATAAACTAACCTACACGAACTCCCCTTGAACCTTACCTGAACCCCTTGAGCCTTAACTGAACCCCACACCTTTGAAACCTACGTGAGCCCCTATAAACCATGCTAAAACCCCATAAACCATACTGAAACCCTCATAAACCTTACTGAAACCCTCATAAACCTTACTGAAACCCTCATAAACCTTACCTGAACCTCCGTGAACCCACCTGAGCAACAGCTGATAGAGTGTTTGATCAAAGACAGGTCTGTGGTTGGAGGGCAGCCAGAATTTGGGGTAGTAGGCGAAGGCGAATGTGGTGTGGCCGTCGTTTACCCCGCGGATCACCCTGAGGTCGTGAGTCTTATCCCAGGAGGTGAGAGTCCCATTGAGGCGTTCCACTAAGGCATACAGCATCCCCCGGTTAGTACTGTCTCCTAGGAACACCAGCTGTAAATACATATATACGTATACAGTATAGGGTCAATACATATACATAGGAAATACGATAAAACATGAATAAATTGCATTAGATTAGTAAATAGTTAAATAATGGAAGACTTGAGACACTGGAAGTAATTTAGTTATGAAAAAAGGAAGTCATGATTCCTTTAGTTAATTTCTCAAGCGTTCTTTTAGTTGTTGGTGTAGGTAGTGGATTCATACCGTCTTTCCGTGGAGACAGTGACGGAGGTGGTGGGTAGTGAGGGCCGAGTGGGTGCAGGAGAAGGGCTGCCATACCGCCTTAGACCAGTCACATAACACTCGCTCCACACACGACGCGCACGGCAGCACCCAGCGACCTGAGGCAGAACCCTAAGTTATAACGTCTGTCTGTACCATACCTCAGTCCTTACTTTAAACTGTGTAAAGGTCTCAGACTACTGAGTAAAATTAGCTGTGACTTAACTAACTCATAGTGTAACAGACAGTAAGACGAGTGACTATCAAAATGCGCTTCAGTCAACATTTTCTTCGCTGTAGTTTTTTCACGTTAAATCTTTCTATAATCCTGTAGACTGTAGAGGGTGAGTGTAGGTCAGGCACACTTACTGTAGTTACCAACCCCACCACTGCAGGTTTCTTGTAGTAACCGACCCAAGAGGAAACACTGTCACTCCCTTACCGTGGGCGTCCCCCTGGTGGCAGGCGGGAAGACTCTGACTGTGAGAGAGGAAGACCCTCCACGAGTTGAAGGATGACTCGATGCTGAGACTACAAGGCTCTGAGGGCGAAATTCTCAGCTCACACTCCTGTGGGAGACGCCTAAGTGTGAGAGACAGAGACAAGAGACTACGAGATGTTTGGTGGTAGATGTATTTGGCTGCTAGATAAGAAATTCACTTTATATTGCATTTTCGAACAACACACAATCTTAAGAATCTCTGATTCTTTGTCTTCCTTCCCACTTCTACTTTCCTCCCCCACTTCCCACTCTCTTTTCCTCTCACACCTTTACTTCTCCCATTCTTACATCCTCTCTTCCCTCCTTACTCCATCAACTTCCGCTCCTTTCTCCCGACAACTCTCCCGTTCGTCTTTTCTTCTTATCTCTCCCCCCTTCCATCCATCCCCATCTCTCCTTCCTTCCCTCTCTCATTCTCCTCCCTTCCCTTCCTCCCCTTGCCTCCCTCTCTCACCTGCTTCAGACCACACACTTGGTGAGGGAGACTGGTCACATCAGGTGAGGGCACTGGTGGGGGTCGCCGCGTGAGGTGGATGGTGTAGGTGTTGAGGGTCCAGGGTTCTGAATGTCCTATGTCCACCACAGCCAGAGGGACGCGGTTCTCCCCGAGTCCCAGCGTGTAGTTCACCAACCTGCAGGAGAGAAGAAATCCTAGGTGAGGGAGATGACTGGAAACACCATGAGGAGGGAGTCCTTTTGGTGAAGATTTAACTTTAACTAAAGAAATAAGTCCTTCGAGAGAGATCCCTTCAAGATCCTATCAAATGTGTGTTGTCATGAAGGATATATAAACACAACCTGAGCCAGACTTACGTAGACGGTCCGAATTTATCATCGAGTCTTGCCTCTGCCTGACAGTTGAGGGCCACACCAGTGACTTCCACCATGATGACCCCGTACTCCACCTCGCCCCAGTAGGAGGTCACGAGCGGGGTGAAGGTCGGCGTGAGAGTGATGTCTGGCACCAGGATGATTCGCTGAAGGTATGGTGCCGTAGTTGGGTCTATCAATCACCGAAATAAAAAAAAGTGTCAGTCATCTTTGAGAATGTAAACAAATGAGGAATTGTAAGTCGTCGTCTCCATTTAAGTCCGCCATGGTTGGTGATATGAAGACGATGGTTATTATAGATTAATATATATTTCCTTAATTCCCCAAACTACTCAATACGATATACTTGATAAAATTATATATCCTAACCTAACCCACCTTGCATACAGCGGTCCTTGGTACTCTCCTGATGCCTCAACCATTTCTCGTGGATGTCTTCGTTCTGCTCCAGGTCGTGGCTGTGGTAGAGGGAACAACAGGGTCACATATTACTTAACTTTACCAACGCTCACGACTCTTATGTTGTTTATGTACGAAAGATTCAATTAAAAGATTAACTCTGGGGATTCATTATGCATTTAATATTCCCCTAAGGTAAGAATAGGGGGATGAGGAGGAGAGGAGAGGGACGGAAGAGGAGGAGGAGGAGGGGGCCGCAAGAAGAGGAAGAGGAGGAAGATCTAAAAACAAGGAAATGAATAATAAAAAAAAAGATGGAGAGAAGATCAGGATTAATTTGTGGAAATATCATTGGGTGAAGTATGAACCTGCTAGACTAGAGGAAGGCAGAGCCCTGGGTACACGTCTGAGGGTAGGAGGAGCCCTGGGTACACGTCTGAGGGTAGGAGGAGTTACCTGTCCAACATGGGTGAGACGCCAGGGGGCAAGGGGCGATGGTGGGCTTCCAGTGACGTCACCAGCCCGTGTAGGTCCCTGGTCACATGACGCCAACTCTCCCTGCCAAGTAAACACACAGGGATCATGAATGTATATCTTTAATTACAGCAGCAACAGCAACTACTGCTATCAATATACTACTACTACTATAAATACTACTACTACTACTATTAATTACTTCAAAATGTACACGAAAATCCTTGAAAGCGCCGTTTGTTTACTAAAAAATTCCCATGAGCTTTCAAAGACGCCATCTTGTCGCTACACCTACAACAGACCTTACTAAGAACGCTCAATGTTTACTAAGTTACTCCGAAGGAAACTTACGTGAGGAGGTAGGCAGCTGGGGCGAAGGCGGTGCTGGTGTTGGTGGAGACGGCGTGGTACAGGTCACCGATTACCTGTAGAAGGAAGAGAAGAAGAAAAAATGAGATGGAGAAGGAGGAGAAGGAAGGTAAAATGAGATTGAGGAGGAGGAGAAATCAGATTGAGGAGGAGAAAGAATGAATAATGAGATGGATGAACTATTATGGATATGCTCTGTCTTTTTTCACGCATTTCTCTGCCTGCACGTGACACAAACACAAACAAACACCTTTTAACAACACAAGAAAACTCCCCTGTATGTGTGAGTAAAAGATCATTGTATGTGACATCATTTACCTGGTCATAGATACGGCCGACTGGTGAGGGGTAGACCATTGTAAAACCCACTCTCTTCGCCTTCTTCTGCGTATGTGTTGTGACGTCTGGCGGCTGGTCGGAGTATTCCCTGGATCCCATAACAGTTTCTGAAGGTGTCATTTTATTTTTTAGAGTGTATGAATCATTAAACTGCAACCATTTATTTTTACTGTTGGTGTAAATTTCTTGTAATCGAAAGGGATTCTTCCTTGGGTTAAAAGAGATATCCTCACGTCCGGGAGTTCTGATATCTAGCGCAGTTACTCCACTTAATAGTTCGTTTTTTATGTCCGTTGTGAGTTGTCCGTTTTCTCTTCTCGTTTCCAGCAGGTACTCAAGGTCTGGTTGGGTCAAACACAACTCGTGGGAAATGAGACAGTCCACACCAACCACTCCTGCGGAAAAATCTAATATAACTTCTACACCTTGACGTTTCAGAACTCTTTAATGAGTTGTATATTTTAGGTTGCGTTTGTGAGCTGTAGCCATTTCTTTTCTTAAAAAAAGTATTCATCAACAAGGCATCTGTGAGACAATTATTATTACTGAAAGTTTGTTGCTCACCCAAATTGTCAGCAGCCTCCGTGAGGGCCTCATTCACTTGGGACGCCACCTGTACATCTCTCGTCAGCAGTGTCATCACGTCCCTCGCCACCTGGATTCTGCCGACAGCATGGGCATTGTGGGCGTCCAGGTCTGCGGAAGTGAAGGAGAGGTCTGGTTGGCCGCTGACGCCCAGGACAGCCGGGTAGAAGGTAGAATTGTAGACGAGGTCAACACCCAGCAGCTGGTAGCACCCCTCGCACCTGAAGCGTCAACACGAGACAACAATACTCACACCTGAGAATGGTTATATGGAGTTTGTGTCGATAGTTTATGGCTGGTAAGGTGTACTGTGTGTGGGAAGGTCTGGAATTATCGTTTACTGTGAGTGTGTTATGTAAAGAACATCGATAAATAATAAAGTTTCTGCCTAAAAGGAAATATAGTACAGAACATAATAATAACTTTTAGGTCCTGTACATTCTTCAAGTAAATAAATTGTGTATTCTTCCTACACATAAAACACCTCCACAGACATACTGTACAAAAAACATTAATTTTCTTAGCAATACACCAAGAAATGCATTCAATACTGTGTTTATCTTTGAATATACATTTCCTGGGACCCTACACTACTGTGTCGCTGTGAACCATCACCCTAGTCCCTCGTCCCTCCGGCAGCGCCCCCACCTGTAGCGTCGTGAAGCCTTCTTCAGGTTGTGGACCTTGGGAGGCAGTAGTAAGTCAGCAGCCAGGGCCAGTGTGACTAGCACAGCTTCAGTGTGGCCCACCATGGCCCGCATGGCCTCCTCGCCCGACGTGCGGCCCACCCACGACACCAACTCAGACCACGTCCACACTCGGTCCTGGATCTGAAGTAGGAGGTCTCAAGGAGTTGTGTCAACACAGTCATACACGCCAGCATGTATAGGTACTGTACACAGGTAAGTCACAAATGTCACTTTTTACTGCTAGACTGAAAAAAGTGTTACTGATACGTGTTCCAGCAGCAAACTTGGAAAACAGGCAGCATAAGCCATACAAATGACGTCACTAAGACTTACTATGAGAGGAGAGTTACACAGGTGGAGGTGAACTTACTCAGGCGGGGACATACCTTGGCGTAGCCTCTGGCTGGGGGGTGCCGGAACACCACCTCGCCGTGGGTGTGGACATGAGCTCGTAGGGGCTGCAGCGACCCCAGCAGGAGGTAGAGCCTCACCGACACGCTCACCCCCAGCACCTGCAGCGGCGGACCCCAGTGAACCTGCACCATCTGTCCTGACCCCAGCCTGGGAGAACACCACGACCTCAGTACACCTCCAACACCCCCCCTCGGCACAACAATACACTACTTCTACACCTCGTCTCGTCTTACTACACCTCTACGACACAGGATATTACAGGTGCTATGTCTACACTACACTCAACTTACTACACTACTACTACTACACCCGACCTTACTACACCCCTCTTACACTCGACTCTGCTACACGTACTGTACCAGCTACTCAATTTCACTTCACCTCAGACATATCTTAACATCAAAGAGACATGTCAAGGGAACATGTCCGTCAAGAATACATCGTTAATAGTAATACCAGCGATATATTTCCAGGTAGAAGTGATAAAGTTAGTTGATATAAAGTTTGAGACATGAAACTAGTTATACACGTGAAGAAATATACAAATAAAAGCTCCTCCCGTCAACACAGTTTTCCTACCTCTTATCACGCAAGTCCTCCAGTAGTTTCCTGTTGTCTACCACCGCCACGCCCTTCCCGGAGTGGGAGGCCTTCACCACCCACTGAGCGGTGTCTGGGAGGGCGTGAGCGGCAGCGGTGAGATAGGTGATGTGGGCGGGGAGAGCGTAGCAAGCTGGGACGAGGGCACGAATAGGTGGAACCAACCTTGAGGCGTGGAGGAGGTCGCACAAACTCTCTCGACGCCACAGGGTCCCTCGTAACCCAGGGAGGCGACCTACCTGCCAGGGGAGTCAAGAGGACGTGGCTTAGTGACGTGTGTGTGTTAGGTTAGTTTAGGTTTGAATATTTCCTCTTAAAATATTTTGTGTAACCTAACCTAACCTAACCTAACCTAAGCCAACCCAAAAATCTACCAACCACATTGAGTATCATCGTGGATCTTTCGTATATATGATGTTGGCGAACTGGAAATGACGTTACATCTATCTATCACCAAAAAGTGTGTTATTTATTGTACTTGAGGCTATGAGAGGATGTTTGTAGGAATGCAATGAAAGATAATATATGAGAAGTGCGATGGAGAGAGGAAAAACCTGAGGACTTGAAGGTAAACATGAGAGAGGTACACGACGGTCTCTTAAAAATATATACATTTCCGTCAGAATTAATTAGTTAGGACATTTAAATATTAGTTTTCTTCATTTTCTCATTTTAATTTACATATATTGTATTTCAGAGACTTTATCTGTTCATATATAACTAGTTGGAACTTTCAGGATAAATCTTCTGGGTTCATCGACACATACGAAGACTCATCCCGAAATGTTCCAATAACGATTCAGATTATTAAATAGTAAACTGAACCAAATCACATATATTTGGTTTTAAAATATTAATTATGGCTCAATGGGGAGTTTTCAGGGTAACAATAAGTGACCCGAATGTTTAAGAAATGGCCGATAGTCGTCACCCAACACATTTCCTTCCTTCCTTCCTTCCTTCCTTTCACAAACATTCTCTCTCTCTCTCTCTCTTTCTCTCTCTCTGTCTGTCTGCCTATCCCTCTTTCTCCTCTCCTCCATCTCTCCAGTCTTTCCTCCTCCCCTACCGTCTCCATAGAGCTCAGCGAAGTATGGATCAATTAGCAGAGTTCCCCCTCCCCAGCCCGCCAGGTCAGCATGTTTTATTCACTGAGGCATTGTTGTTATCCATCATGGGGGGTGGGGGATAGAGGGGGAGGGAGGGGGGGAGTAGGTGTGTAGGGAAGGTTGGCCCCATTGTTCTAGTGGGCCTCTACCACGTCACCCACCCACATTATACACACACACACCCAACACCACTGTCACCCATAATCTGAGGCACAGTTTCCTAGCACTCGTTATCAATGCTAACAGGCCTCCCTGATTATCCCCCCCTCCCCCCAGTTGTCCCCTACCCTATGCAGAGACAGTGATGGGGGGTGTTGAGGTGGGCAGGAGAATGAGGTGATGGGGTTGTAGAGGAGTGGGAGGGGGAGGAGATGGGGGAGGAAGAGATAAGGAAAGAGAGGAGAAGTGAAAGAAAGGAGTGGGGGGGGGTTGTGGAGGAAGGAGATAAAGAATGGTAAGGAAGTAGAGAGAGAGTCCAGCTGGCTAGTAGAAGGATAGGAAGGAGGCAGGGGGCAGGAGATCAGGTGTGAAAGGAGGCGGTAGAACAGGAAGGGGAAGAGTGGAAGGAAGAGGAGGAGGTCCAGGGAGAGCGTGAAGACAAGAGGGAGGAAGGAGGATGTCGGGAGATAGGGAAGGAAGGAGATAAGGAAGGAAGCCAGGACGTCATGAGAGAAGGAGGGAGGGAGGGCCACAAGACACCTTACCTCTCTGATATTCATTGATCATCAGGTGTCACTGGGAAGTCCTCGTCCCTCCCTGCCACGGCTTACCAATTATGATCCATCACTGCTGACGTGACACCTCCCTCCCTCCCTCCCTCCCTCTCTCCCTCCCTCCCTGCTTCTCCCCCTCCCTCTCCTGCTCCTCTGCTACCCTCCCTCCTCTTCTCCTCCTCCCCGCTACCTCCTCCCTCCGCTACCCTCCCCCTCCGCTCCTCCCTCCCTGCTACCCTCCCTCTCTCCTGAATCAAATCGTACGGCGGAAACCAAATATAATGTTAAAATTGGCGTCCCTGCTGCAGACTCTGGAACACGTACCTTCTGGTGTGGCCTGAGGGAGGGGAAGAGCTTTCTGGGGAGACAAGCGGAGGAGTCGCCGTCAGTATAAGCCAGACACACCAGCAGCCTCCAGTCTCACACACGACCTCCTGCTGCTGCCTCCTCTGTTAACAGTCAACAGTTAGTAGGTGATACAGTCAACAGCTAACAGGTGATACAGTCAACAGCTAACAGGTGATACAGTCAACAGCTAACAGGTGATACAGTCAACAGCTAACAGGTGATGCAGACAACAGCTAACAGGTGATACAGACAACAGCTAACAGGTGATACAGTCAACAGCTAACAGGTGATACAGTCAACAGCTAACAGGTGATACAGACAACAGCTAACAGGTGATACAGTCAACAGCTAACAGGTGATACAGTCAACAGCTAACAGGTGATACAGACAACAGCTAACAGGTGATACAGACAACAGCTAACAGGTGATACAGTCAACAGCTAACAGGTGATACAGTCAACAGCTAACAGGTGATACAGTCAACAGCTAACAGGTGATACAGTCAACAGCTAACAGGTGATACAGACAACAGCTAACAGGTGATACAGACAACAGCTAACAGGTGATACAGTCAGCATTCAACAGGTTATTTAGACAGTATTTAACAGTTGACAGTCAACAGGTAAAATAAATACTAAATGATCTATCCTACCATAAGATTCTTTTACTAATAGAACCGGGGCCCATTAGAACTGGGGCCCATTAGAACAGGGGCCCATTAGAACCGGGGCCCAATAAACCAGTCAACATAACTATCCTTTCTCAACCATAAGCAGGGTGATGGAGGAGGGTACAGGTAGGGTGATGAGGAGGTACAGGTAGGGGTGATAGAGGAGGGTACACAGGTAGGGTGATAGAGGGAGGTACACAGGTAGGGGTGATGGGGGAGGGCACACAGGTAGGGGTGATAGAGGGAGGGTACACAGGTAAGGTGATGGAAGGGTGATGGAGGGAGGGTACAGGTAGGGTGATGAGGGAGGGTACACAGGTAGGGTGATAGAGGAGGGGCACAGGTAGGGGTGATAGGGGAGGGTCACAGGTAGGTGATGGAAGGGTGATGGAGGGAGGGCACAGGTAGGGTGATAGAGGGAGGTACACAGGTAGGGTGATAGAGGAGGGTACACAGGTAGGGTGATAGAGGGAGGTGGTGGGCAGGTGGAAGGGTGATGGAGGGAGGGCACAGGTAGGGTGATAGAGGGAGGGGTACACAGGTAGGGTGATAGAGGGAGGGGTACACAGGTAGGGTGATGAGGGAGGGTACACAGTAAGGTGATGGAAGGGGTGAGGGAGGCACAGGTAGGGTGGGATAGAGGGAGGGGCACAGGTAGGTGATAGAGGAGGCACAGGTAGGGGTGATAGAGGGAGGGTACACAGGTAGGGGTGATAGAGGGAGGGTACACAGGTAGGGTGATAGAGGGAGGGTACACAGGTAGGGGTGATGGAAGGGTGATGGAGGAGGGTCACAGGTAGGGTGATAGAGGGAGGTACACAGGTAGGGTGATAGAGGGAGGGTACACAGGTAGGTGATAGAGGAGGGTACACAGGTAAGGTGATGGAAGGGTGATGAGGGAGGGGCACAGGTAGGGTGGATAGAGGAGGGGCCAGGTAGGGGTGATAGGGGAGGTACAGGTAGGGTGATAGAGGGAGGGTACACAGGTAGGGGGATAGGGGAGGGTCACAGGTAGGGTGATAGAGGGAGGTACAGGTAGGGTGATAGAGGGAGTGCTACAGTAGGGTATGAGGGAGGGCACAGGTGGGGTGGGATAGAGGGAGGGCACAGGTAGGGTGATAGAGGGAGGTACAGAAGTATAGGGGAGGGTACACAGGTAGGGTGATAGGGGAGGGTCACAGGTAGGGTGATAGAGGGAGGTCACAGGTGGGTGATGAGGGGGGGTCACAGGTAGGGTGATAGAGGAGGGGACAGGTAGGTGAAGAGGGAGGGTACAGGTAGGGTGGGTAGGGGAGGGACACAGGTAGGGTGATAGAGGGAGGGCAAGGTAGGGTGATAGAGGAGGGTACAGGTAGGGTGATAGAGGAGGGGGGTAGGGTGATGGAGGGAGGGACACAGTAGGGTGATGAGGGAGGGCACAGGTAGGGGTGATGGAGGGAGGGCACAGGTAGGATGATGGAGGGAGGGCACACAGGTAGGGTGTGATAGAGGGAGGGCACACAGGTAGGGGTGATAGAGGAGGGCACACAGGTAGGGGTGATGGAGGGAGGGGCACAGGTAGGATGATGGAGGGGCACAGGTAAGGTGATGAGGGAGGGTACACAGGTGGGATGGAGGGGGGGCACATAGGGTGATGGAGGGAGGGCACACAGGTAGGGTGATAGAGGGAGGGCACAGGTAGGTGATAGGGAGGGTACACAGGTAGGGTGATGGAGGGAGGGCACAGGTAGGGTGATGGAGGAGGGACACAGGTAGGGTGTGATAGAGGAGGGCACACAGGTAAGGTGATGGAAGGGTGATGGAGGGTGATGAAGGGTGAGGGAGGAGGCGCTAACTGCTCAACAACACCGCGGTAATTAATGGATTGACTCGTCCCAGCAGTCCACCATTGACTGATCTGCCAATAGTCCACCAAAAGGCGCGACTCTCTGGCTATTGACACCTCGTCCTGCCTCACCCCCGCCCCTTCTGCTGGTGGTGGGTGGGGTTGTGGTGGTGGTGTGTGGTGGTGGTGTGTGGTTGTGGTGGTGGTAGGTGGCGGTTGTGGTGGTAGGTGGTGGTGGTGGTGTGTGGTTGTGGTGGTGGTAGGTGGTGGTGGTGGTGTGGTTGTGGTGGTGGTAGGTGGTGGTGTGTGGTTGTGGTGGTGGTGGTAGTCTCTCTCTCTCTCTCTCCTTAATGGCGGCAGTGTATCGTATAGCGACTGTCTGGTGATAACACAAGATGGGAATTAAATAATGATGGATGTGGTGTTAGTGCAGTCATCTGTCTGTCTGTCTGTCTGTCTTGCCTCTGTCTATCTCTTATTAGCGATCATGACAGGGCGTCGAAGATGATAGATGAGCAGTAAGTGATAACGGGAGAGAGAGAGAGAGAGAGTGATGAAGGATGTGGACAAAGGAGCAAAGCTTGTTATTTAGATCTATCAACTTAGAGACTGCATTAGTGGGGCGGCGTCTGAACCTAACCTAACCTAACCTAACCTAACCTAACCTAACCTAACCTAACCTAACCTAACCTAACCTAACCAAACCTAACCTAACCTAACCTAACCTAACCATGGTCTTGATATGGTTGATGGATCAATCTTAGAGGCTGTTCAGTATATTCTAGAGGGCGGTGTAGTCGGGAGCCGAGTTGTTCACACTGATCCTAATGGCGGAGTCGTCGACGCATTTCCTAGCGAGCTGGAGGTGTCTATCAGGGCATAGTTGATGGTGATGAGGAAACAGAGAAGGCTCATCCTAGTGCCCTGGGGACGCCATAGGTGGAGACATCCTCTAAAAAGTCTACAGCCTGGAGTTAGTCACTAAGGATGTCTGTAAGCCATAGTATGAGACTTCTCGATGGCTTTGTTGATAATTATGATGTCTTAAGTGTGTGTGTGTGTGTGTGTGTGTGTGTGTAAGTGTGTGTGTGTGTGTGTGTGTGTGTGTGTGTGTGTGTGTGTGTGTGTGTGTGTGGTTCACCCTGATGTGACACCATAAGAACCACATCTTTAAGGGCCCCTGACCTCTAGTGGGACGGAAGGTCAACTACAACTGATTTTCAAATTGTAATGTGGCCAATGGTGAGACCTTCCCCACCCCTCACTCCACTTCTCACTCCTCACACCTCACTCCTTCCCTCATCCCTCACTCCACTCGTCACACCTCACCTCTTCCCTCACCCCTCACTCCACTCGTCACACCTCACCTCTTCCCTCATCCCTCACTCCACCTCGTCACACCTCACTCCTTCCCCTCATCCCTCACTCCACTCGTCACACCTCACCCTCACCCCTCACCCACTCTGTCACACCCTCACCCTCCACCCATCCCTCACCTCACACCTCACCTCCTCATCCCTCACTCCACCCCCTCACCTCCACCCTCACCCCTTCCCTCATCCCCCACTCCACTCTCACTCCTCACACCTCACCTCCCTCACCCCTCACTCCACCTCGTCACACCTCACCTCCCTCATCCCTCCTCCACCCCTCACACCTCACTCCTTCCCTCACCCCCTCACCCACCTCGTCACACCTCACTCCTCCACTCATCCCTCACTCCTCACACCTCACTCCTTCCCTCATCCCCCACTCCACTTCTCACTCGTCACACCTCACTCCTCCCCTCACCCCTCACTCCACTTCTCACTCCTCACTCCTTCCCTCATACTCCACAGGTTATGGAACGAGATTTAAGTGAATCTTAGTGGTATAATTTTGTATTTTCTGCTCTCTCTCTCTCTCTCTCTCTCTCTCTCTCTCTCTCTTCTTCAAAACACCTCATTAGTCGCCCGCCACACACACACACACACACACACACACAAGAACGTCTATCACCACCCCTTCATCACCTCCTCCACTACCCACCACACGCTCCACACACGCCCCACACACACTCCAACAACATGACAAGGCCGACATTATGCTTCTATTCATTCAGGACTAAAGAGGACAAGTAACTAGGATGTAAACAGGTTATTAAGGTGGAATTGGTGGTCTATGGGAGTTAATTTGATCAAGGTGGGTAAGGTGTGGTGGGGTGGGTAAGGTGGGGTGGGGTGGGTAAGGTGGGGTGGGGTGGGTAAGGTGGGTAGTGTTGTGTGACATAGGTGGCCTTGTTACCTTTGACTCTGACGTGCAATTTATACCTGCTTGCACCCCCTCTCTCTCTCCTCTCTCTCTCTCTCTCTCTCTCTCTCTCTCTCTCTCTCTCTCTCTCCCCTACATACCTCCACCTTAGCTCCCACCCCTCCCCCTCCCCCTCCCCTCCCCCTCCCCCCTCCTAGATACAGGTTGACAAGATAGGAGATAAAAATAGTGTCACGTCAGATTTCCAGAGATAGATGATGTTCGGTCCAGTAGAGGCGAGAGTATGGTGATTGTAGGTTGAGAGGACGTCCTTATAGTACCTGGAGGGTTGGCGCTGTCTGTTGCCTCGGTTTAAT